TGATTTGGATGTGAACATAGGAGGTATGGTTAGTAAGTTTGCAGATGACAACAAAATTGTTGGTGTAGTGGACAGTGAAGAAGGTTACCTCAGAGTACAACAGGATCTTGATCAGATGGGCCAATGGGCCGAGGTGTGGCAGATGGAGTTTAATTTAGATAAATGTGAGGTGCTGCATTTTGGAAAGGCAAATCAGGGCAGGACTTATACACTAAATGGTAAGGTCCTGGGGAGTGTTGCTGATCAAAGAGACCTTGGGGTGCAGGTTCATAGTTCCTTGAAAGTGCAGTCGCAGCTAGACAGGATTGTGAAGAAGGCATTTGATATGCTTGCCTTTCTTGGTCAGTGCATTGAGTGTAGGGATTTGGAGGACATGTTGTGGCTGTACAGGACATTGGTTAGGCCACTTTTGGAATACTGCATGCAATTCTGGTCTCCCTGCTATAGGAAGGATGTTGTGAAACTTGAAAAGGTTCACAAAAGGATTACAAGGATGTTGCCAGGGATGGAGAGTTTGAGCTATAGGGAGAGGTTGAATAAGCTGGGGTTATTTTCCCTGGAGCTTTGGAGGCTGACGGGTGACCTTATAGAGGTTTATGAAATCATGAGGGGCGTTTATAGGGTGAATAGCCAAGGTCTTTTTCCCAGGGTCAGGGAGTCCAAAACTAGAGGGCATAGGTTCAAGATAAAGGGGGAAAAGATTTCAAAAGGGACCTAAGGGGCAATTTTTTCATACAGAGGGCAGTGCATGCATGGAATGAGTTGCTGAAAGAAGTGGTGGAGGCTGGTAGAATTACAACATTTAAGAAGCATCTGGATGGATACATGAATATAAATGATTTAGAGGGATACAGGTCAAGTGCTGGCAAATGGGACTAGATTAATTTAGGATATCTGGTCAGCATGGACAAGCTGGACTGAAGGGTCTGTTTCTGTGCTGTATGTCTCTATGACTCAATGATTCTATGAAATGACTCTATGACTCACTCCTAGAGCGGTTTTTCTAATGACTGTGGGAGAAAGAGAACATAATGTCAGAGAGAGGGTGAGGAATGGAGGCCGTCCAGATATTTCACAATGAACAGAAGAGGAGTTACTAATTTAGACGAAGTTTCAGCATCACTGCTCAGGAAACGGGGGCTTGCAGCTACCTGCTGAAACTATCACATGTCAGTGACCCATATCGCATACTGTACTGAGTCACACGGAAAGTCAGGTATGATCTTTATAGCAAAATGCAACATTCTTAGCTTGCCAGGAAGAATTCCTTGTTTTGTATTACTCCGATTCCCTTTTAAAGTGCAGCAGCAGTCAATGAAAATCACTGATACCAGTTTCTCAGATGAGATCATTCTGCCTGAGGTTGTACTATCACAAGATTCATTCCGATGTTTACACAGTGGTGGCACCTGTGAGGAAAAGTGTTGAATTTTTACCTGGTGACTGATGTGTTACTAGTGAGCAAGAGAAGTCAGTGGAGACTAGGACTGCAATGGCAAGTTCATATTAAATGGCACAGCCTTCTCCAAACTCTATCAGTTAGATACAGGCCCTAACTTTGGGGATTTGGAAAGCGGGGCAGAGAGTGCAGTGGACATGGGCACATAGCCATCGATGATTGATTTTTTTTCTTTTCAATGAGTAGCAGGAGAGGATGTTGTACAGCCTTTCACACACAGATTGACCATGAGGAATCCAATGAAAACATAGGTGGACTGATGTAGGACATTGTGAAGATGGCTTCCATCTTGAATAGAGTGACCAGTTCCATTGAACATCAAAAACTCTAATGATAGAGTCCATTTATTATCTTGACTGTCACTGGGCAGAATTTGGAGATAGGATTTTTACTCACTCACTGGAATGGGGCAATGATTTAAAAATTGCTGTCTTAGAGGTTGTCCCTGGCTCTCAATACCTCTTGGACAGTCTACAATTTTCAAACATGACCAGGGTGGAGGGGGTTGCAAGGGAAGTGACAAACCCACTTGTCTCCAGTCAATGGCTCATTAAGCTCTTTTAGGAACTTGTTAATGGGTGACAGAAGTTGACATTGCAATTTTTAAAACATTTTTTTTTCATTCACAGGATGATGGCATTGCTGGCTAAGCCAGCATTTATTGTCCATTGCTGAGGGCAGTTAAGAGTTCAACCACATTCCTGTGGGTCTGGAGTCACATATAGGCCAGACCAGGTAAGGACAGTCAACCATGGATTCATGGTCATCATTAGACTCTTAATTCCATATTTTTATTGAATTCAAATTCTGCCATCTGCTGTGGTGAGATTCAAACCTGGGTCCCCAGAATGTTACCTGGGTCTCTGATTTAACAATCCACTGATAGTACCACTAGGCCATCACCTCCCACGAATTTGGCAAATATGAATAGTAGCACATAGGTTACGGTCTCAAAAGGCAAAAGTTGAACTTTTGTGTTGGATGAAAAGTCTGTGATGGGCAACAGAATCTTGAGAGGATGTGAATGTACATTACTACAACCTGAGACCAGACTGCCAACTTTGTTATGATCTGGCTAGGGACCAATAATCTTTTCTGAAAACAGACAAGAGGTGAGATCCAAGGCACTTACTAACAGGATAAAGCCACGAGATTCCAGTTTTGAACAAATGGTACTGTACAAGTGAAAATTTACAGTACAATTTATTTTTAACACCCAAAATTAACAAATGGTAAAGTGTGATTGAACACCTTGCCTCCCACATCATGTCAGAAATAGAGACAGATTTCCCAAATTTCTCAGTAACTCCTCTAAGACAGTAATGATATGATGGGTCATTATCAATCACATTAAACTTCAGAATGGATTACAGTTCTTTTCACTTCGCTGATAAAGAGCAACTCTCCTCTCAAGAGTTGCTCCATCGTCAGCCCCCTCAACAACTGCTCCTGTTCCTCTCAATCACCTTCCTTTCCTGAACTCGTGCACCTTGGGTCTCTGAAAACTGCACGCCAAAAATTATTCAGCAGTACAACTTCAGTTTTCCATCAACAGCCAGCTTCACTAAAGCTAGATTCATTCCTAGGTTTCTCTGAGCTCCAACTCTGCTCAGTTACACCAAGTAAAGATTGTTTGTGGCACTCTCACATCTGCACTGAACTATTAATGATTATAGGTTCCTTTGGAACCCCAGAGAGTACCCCCCACCGACCCCACCCCCCCTCAACATACAGCCAGTTACCTGCTTACCTTTTCAGCTCCCTGGACTTATTTTGAGCCCTAATCCCAACAGCTAGCTGCCCGCTGATTCATAGAACTTCTCCCTGAGTTTGTTCTAACAGCACAGCACCATCCAGCTGCTCTTGACTCCTCAATGCAGCTGCCTTCCCTGCGGTATTTTCAGGACTTCTTGTTTTTACTTTAGATTTCTAATGTTTTCAGTATTTTGCTTTTATTAATCCATTGGTCACTACAAATATTGCCGGTGGAGATTGGGAATGCTTCTGGCTGCTGAACAGGAGGAGAGATGCCAGCACTATTTTAGTGATATCGCACGCAAGGGGAAGTTATGCTGGAAAAGTTTCACAATGGTTTCGAAGGGGGAAATCTTTTGCTCAGTTCCTGTGCTATTTTCTGTCCCCTTTGTTCCGAAAAGTGGAGTTATATTTATGTAACTCTGAGATTGGATCACTCCATGATACTGTTGGCCCTTTCTATTGCCTTAATTTTATAATTTATCCCACACATCAGTGTGTGTGAGACCAATCAGGAAGAAGGCAGCATTAGCATTGAATTTTCACAGAATCACAGAAGTGTTACTGCTAGCCCATTCAGCCTGTCGTGCTTGTAAATGGCTAGTTAAATGAGCATTATTACCAGGTGCCAATCTCCTGCTCTCCCCCCATACACCTGCACATTATCTTTATCCAAATAATCATCTTCTTGAAAGCCTCAATTGAACCTACATTCACTACTTTAGTCCTTCAAGTTCTCTTCCACTGTCTCTGGGCTGTCACACTAGTTATTTTAAACCAACATGTTCAGGCATTTTATGATATAATACTGGGGCAGGTGTGATTTGAACCTGGACTCCCTGGCCTAGAGGTAGGGACCTGACCGCTGCACGACAAGAGCCCTTGTAACTTTGTAACAGGGCATCTTGAAAAGGGAGGGTGATGAGTTCAAGGTCAGGGTACACATTGGTACCAATGATGCAGGCAAAGTGAGGAATGAAGTCTTGCACCAAGAATTCAGGGAGCTAGGCAGTAGATTAAAGAGCAAGACCTCAAACATTGTAATCTCTGGATTATTCCGAGTCAGTGCAAGCGAGTATAGAAATTGGAAAATAAGATAGCTGAATGCATGGCCGGTGCAAGGGTCAAAGTTTCAGGTTTTGGATCTTTGGGGCCTCTTCTGGGACAGGGGTGACCAACACAGGAGGGATGGGTTGCATCTAAACTGGAGGGGAACAAATATCCTTACAGGGAGATTTGCTAGTGCTGCTCAGGATGGTTTAAACTAGAGTGGTAGGGGGCTGGGAACCAGAGCAACAGGTAGGCAAGTGGAGGGATTGAGGGGAAGGTAGATGTTAGAACCAGTAAGTACAAGTTAGTGAACACGATGGAGCTGATGGGCCGAAATGTGTTTATTTCAATGTAAGGAGTATTACGGGTAGGGCAGATGAGTTTAGAGTATGGATCAGTATGTGGGACTATGATGTTGTGGCCATTACAGAGACCTGGTTGAGAGAGGGATAGGAGGTTGAAAGGCATTTATAAGTTTATAAAATAATGAGAAGTATAGATAGAGTTAATGGTAGCTGTCTTTTCCCTAGGATGGGGGATTTCAATACTAGGGGACACATTTTTTAAGGTGAGAAGAGAGAGATTTAAAAAAGACATGAAAGGGCAAATTTTTTACACAGAGGGTAGTTTGCATGTGGAATAAACTTCCTAAGTGGTGGATGTGGGTACAATTACAACTTTTAAAAGACATTTGGATAAGTACATGAATAACAAAAGGTTTGGAAGGATATAGGCCAGGAGCAGGCAGGTGGGACTAGTTTAGTTTGGGATTATGTTCGGCATGGACTAGTTGGACCAAAGGGGCTGTTTCCATGCTGTATGACTCTATGACTCTAACATTCTATGAGGGACCTTACTAAAATCCTTATAAACAACATCCACTGCTGTACCCTCATCGATCACCTTCATCACCTTCTCAAAAAATTCAATCAAGTTAGTAAGACATGACCTGCTGCGCACAAAGCCACACTGATTTGCCCTAATTAGGTCATGCTTTTCCAAATGCGTGTAAATCGTATCCCTAAGAATCCTCTCCGATAGCTTCCCAAGCACCATTGTGAGACTCGCCAGTTTCTAAGCTCCTGGTTATCCTTAATTGATTTCTTGAACAGAGGAACAACATTAGCTAGTCACCAATTGTCAGGAACCTCTCCAGTGGCCACAAAAGATATAAAGATCTTGGTCAAGTCCCCAGAAGTCTCTTCTCTTGCCTCTTTCAATAACCGGGGGTAGATCCCATTGGGTCCTGGGGACTTATCTACCTCAATGCTCTTCAACAGACCCAACACCACTACTTTCTTGTCCTCAAACTGTTCTAGCATATTAGCATGTCCACACTAATCTCACTATCCTCTGTGTCATTCTCCTTGATGAATACCAATGCAAAGTACTCATTTAGGATCTCACTCATGTCCTTTGCCTCCAAGTACAAGTTCCCTCCTTTATCCTTGAATGGTCTGACCCTCTCCCTAGTTATCCTCTTGCTTTTAATGTATGTACAAAATGCCTTGGGATTCTCTTTAACCTTACTTGCTAACGTCATTTCATGGCCCCACTGCACTCTCCTAATTCCTGTTTGAGTTATTTCCTACTTTCTTTGTATTCTTCATGAGCCTGTACAATTTTAGCTTCCTAAACCTTACATATGTTTCCTTTTGCTTTTTGGCTAAATTTACAACCTCCTTCGTCATCCAAAGGTCCCAGACCTTGCCATCCTTGTCCTTTCTCCTTACTAGCACATGCCAGTCTGATCAGTAGGTCTTTAAATAACTCCCACGTGTCAAATGTGGACTTGCCTAACAATAATTAGGTCACCAATAATAGGAAGGATGTGGAGACTTTGGAAAGGGTGCAGTAGAGATTTACCAGGATGTTGCCTGGATTAGAGGGTATGAGCTATAAGGAGAGGCTAGAAAAACTTGTGTTGTTTTCTCTGGAGTGGCGGAGACTGAGCAGAGATCTGATAGAAGTTTATAAAATGATGAGAGGCATAGTTAGGGTTGATGGTCAAAATCTTTTTCCCAGAGTTGAAATGTCTAATACTAGCGGGCATGCATTTAAGGTAAGAAAGGAAAAGTTCAAAGGAGACGTGAGGGGCAAGTTCTTTGACACAGATAGTGTAGGTATTTGAAACGCACTGTCAGGGTAGTGGTGGAGGCAGATACGATAGGGACATTTAAGGGGCTTTTAGATAAGCACGTGAATAAGCAAGGAGTGGAGGGATATGGACCAAAGACAGGCAGAAGGGATTAGTTTAATTTGGCATCATGTTCGGCATAACATCATTGGCTGAAGGACCCATTCCTCTGCTCTAGCGTTATATGTTCATGTTCTATGTTTGTGGCATGATGGAATAATAGCATACTCTAGTAATTAGAAGTGTCGTCAGTGATATCAGAACATATGAAAATGGGATCTGAGTGTGGTGGCTTCTCAACGATATCTGCTCTTACCCTGTCGTGTAAAAAGGTGTTGCATTTAATTTATACTTACATTATGAAGAAGGGTCACATCAGACTCGAAACATTAACTCTGTTTCTCTCTCCACAGATGCTGCCAGACCTGCTGAATTTCTCCTGCATTCTCTGCTTTTGTTTCAGATTTCATGTATCTGTAGTACTCTGTTTTTATACTTACTGAAAACTGTTAACATTTATTAATAGTGGTGCAAATCAAATCTTATTAGAAACACACACCTTATTTTTGAAAAATAAACTGTTGGGAATGTGGCATCATTGGCACATTTATTGTCCTTCCTAATTGCTCTCAAGAAGGTAGCAGCGAGCTGCCTTCTGGAATACAATTGAACAGCTACTTGGCCATTTAAGTGGCATTTGAGATTCAACTACGTTGCTATGAGCTGGAATCACATGTAGGCCAGACCAGTAAGAATGGCAGATTTCCTTCCCAGAGGACATAAGTGAACCGTGTGGGTTTTTAATCACAATCCAACATCTTCATGGCCAGGCATACAGGATTTTCTTTTAGAAACTGAATTCAAATCCTCTAACTGACCTGCTTTAAATTTTAACTCGTGTTCTCTGGATTTTTAATTCAGTGACATAAGCCCTACTTATTAAACTGCAATCTTATTTTGTTCCTGATTTTGTGCAGCAAAGCTAAACAACTGCTAACTGGAAGGAGCTTTTGCAGGTTAATTAACTTACAACAGCTGTGACCTAAGCCTGTGAACAATGTGTTTATTGTAAACTAGGAGTCAATAGCAAGGATCAGCACAACAGAAAAAAGCAGAAATGAGTGCAGTTGAAAACTTTGACTGAGCTCGAGTGAAACCAGCTGACTCTTCTGGATCTCCTCCAAGTTGAAACTTGTGCAAAATACTGGCTGTTTGTTCGAAGCATTATGTTTTGGTCCCTTGGAGCTTTCTAATCTCCTTTTACAGAGATTTAGATCGCCTTGGAAACAGATAAACGTCATCATCCCTCCTCCACCCACCTCACCCAAGCAGCCTGGCAGAGTCTGTGTGACATGACAGTCCATTCCAGTTCTGTCTTGCCCCCAATTTCCTTTCATGCACTTTACAGCAGAAGTTACAGGACAACAATCAGAATTATTGGAACCATTCCAAGGGAGAGGGGCGGAGGGTGTGGACAACGGAATGGACTTGAATTTTTGGTTTTGGGTTCACAAGACATGAAAGACAGTGCATCGTAGTGATAAGATTGTAAAACAAAACAATGGAAACCTGGGCCCAGTAAAGAAAATGATTTGGCACCAGTAACGGTGTCTACTGACATTTACCAGTCTTTAATCAGTCCTTACTGGCAGCTACTAGAAAAGCAGTAATTCATGCCAGACCTAACTTGGGGCAGAAGTATTGAGCAGATACACCATCATTTGCAATTTACTGGTGCCTGGTAATTTAGTAGATTATTTGAATTTCTGGGGTCCAACTATCCATCCTCTGAATCATTGTGCTTCAATTTATTGTCTTATTGCAAATGTGTCCATAACAAAACAAATGAAAGAAATCAGTGCCTGATTTCAACCTTATCCTGTATTTCAACATCTAATCTTCATCATGCTTCACTATTGTCTCAGTGCAAATGTGACATGAAAATAAAAACATGTCACGGTTTTCCCCATTTACTGCATATCGCCTGACAGTGGCAGACTTACTTTGACTAGCCAATTCTTTCAGGCTGTTTCATACTGGACTGTGTTTGCACATGTGTTGCTTATCTGATTTTGTCATTTTGTGAGTACATTCAACTTTACAGATGGACTTATGAACGAGGAGCAGTAGTGGGCCAGTCAGCCCGTAAAACCTGCTCTGCTATTCAGTAGATATCTCTGCTTGAAGAGATGTGTTACCATATGCCCAATGTGGTTTAGCAAGTGGCTTGACAATGGGAGCTGAGGCAGGCTGCAGGCAGTGATGAAGAGCACGGATGAGGAATGAGTCGCTCAGCAACCCAGAATGACAGGTGTTTACAGGGTGATCACCAAATCCAACTTCTCCCAAACCTATTCAAGTTTACGGGACAAAGATCTGTCTGTTTACAGACTGACCTGGGTATGACTGGTGCATATGTATTTATTGTCTTACTTATTTTACTTTCTATGCCAGGATAACATCACATAGACACAAAGTGGCAATTAGATGGAGAACAGGTTTATTTCTTTAAAAATACACCTTCCTATTAAAAGTTTGAAATGTTATATATTACTGAAGTTTTTATCTTGAACATTAGAGACAGTGCAAACAGCATGCTCATGTTCAGACACTCTTGGGTGTCTCAAATTGACAGTCCAACTCATAGCAGTTACAATGTATGTTCCATATGCACAATACGATTGCAAATTGTTCCAACTGAGCATTATTGACAGTGCAACAGAAGTGAAATATAATGACTCCACTGCAGTGGGAGAGTTAATGATATGATTAGCTTGCATTGCAAAATGCTAACCAACCGCAGGATAATACAAGCTACTGGTTGAAGATGATACAATTGGCAAAATATGCAACATAACATCTGTCTGAAATCTCAATTTCACACAGCCACCTACAATCTCCTCAGGAGGTACTGCTGGTTAATGCAGGGAAATGTCCATGCAAAGCCTCAGGTATGCATAAAAACTAGTCACATCATCCTGGAAAGGGACATCATCTTGAAAAAGTAGCAGTCTTTTGGCCATTATGTACTTTTCCTTTAGAATGTCAAGATCTTTTGTAGCTCATGAAACTGATCGCTTCTCAGCCTTTTGGCACAGACCAAGTGTAAGCTATAGAGTCAGCTAGAACGGAAACAGACCCGACGGTCCAACCAGCCCACGCCGACTATGTTCCCAAACCCGCCTGTGCTTGGCCCATATCCCTCCAAACCTTAAACTTATCCAAATATCTTTTAAATGTTGTAACTGTACCTGCATCCACTGCTTTCTCTGGCAGTTCATTCCACACACGAACCACTCTCTGTGTAAAAAAGTTGCCCCTCATGTCCTTTTGAAAACTTTCTCCTCTGGCCTTAAAAATATGACCCCTGGTTTTGAACTCCCGCACGCTAGGGAAAAGATCCTTGTCATTACCTTATCTATGCCCGTCATGACTTTATAAACCTCAATAAGGTCACCTCCTATGCTCCAGTGAAAAAAGTCCTAGCCTTTCCAGTCGATTTTTATATCTCAAACCCTCCATTTCCAGCACCATGCTGGTAAATCCTTTTTTGTGAGTCATCAGAGAGTTTTGAGATCATCATTGAACTTTCGAAGATTGTCGATTGAGCTGACCAGCCAATGATGGATGGTGCCTGTTTCCAGTTGTCTTGCCCCCGCTCCGCCCTTACAGCTGGCCCACGAACTTGCACTGCTAAGCCCATGTGCAGCGGTTTTCCCATGTTAAAAGAGCTCTGCAAAGGCACCGTCCACACCCTCAGGATGAGTTTTGGGACCTGGAATGTCAGGACTGTTATGCACAGTCCCACCAGTGATAGACCGGAACTCCACACTGCCCTTATTGCCTGGGAACTCAGGCGCTATGATCTTGACATTGCTGCCCCGAGTAAAACCCAGTGGGCGGGGGGAGGACAGCTCAAAGAGTGAGGTGGTGGCGACACATTGTTTTGGACAGGCCGAAAAAGAATGCTGCATCCATGGAGTCACCATCAAAAACGAACTAGTGGACCAACTCAAAGACTCCCCCTGCAGAATCAGCGAATGCCTCATGATACTCCGGATCACCCTTGCTCGGAACCAGAATGTCACAGTATTCAGTGCATGTGCACCAATGTGCGACGCAGCAGCTGAGAGCAAGGAGGCATTCTACTCCAAGCTTGACCAGCCTCTCTCACAGATCTCTGCAGTGGACAAACTAATTGTCCTTGGCAATGTCAATGAGCTTTGGGATGATGTAATCGGGAAAGAGGGAGTAAGGAAGCAAAACTCCGATGGCACTCTTCTTCTGACCAAAAGCCATGAACACAGCCTCCTCATCCCAACACACTGTTCCGCCAAAGGGACGAATACACGACAATGTGTTAACACCCACTCTTTAAATGTCATTGTCAGAGCGAGGGATTGGAAAGATGTTAAATTCATCCACAACATGACAGGAGCCGAAGGAGATAGGTGACAGTCTGTAACCACACCCCACCCCCCCCCCCCCCACCATCTCCCCCCCCCCAAACCCCCCACTGCAGCTGCTTTGAGGGCTGTGTGCTGTGGCCCAGAGAGTCTGGGCGTACATGAAGGATCTGTTGGGCAGTGCCCTTTTCACCACCAGCCAAGTGATATCTGGGCGCTTGCTGGAAAATTGAATCACAATGCAAATCGGAGGAACAATATCTCATCTTCAGACTAGGCACTTTACAACCTTATGGACTTAGTTTTGAGTTCAACACTTTCAGACTGTGAACTCACTGCCATTTCTTCCCTTTCTTTTGGTTTCACTTGTTGCGTTCTCTGACACCATGTCCTCTCTCCCCTCCACCCACTCCGATGGGACTGTCAGTTCTTTCCAGTCTGGCAGTTAAACACACCATTGTTCTGCCATTCTCACATTCCAATCACTTAATCTGCACCATCTGCACCCTTTCTCCCCCAGCACTCCCACCCCCACACTATTGCATAAATGCTGTCCCCTCCACACTTAATGTCTGCTCTAATGAAGAATCATCTAGACTCAAAACGTCAGCTTGCTCTCTCTCTATGGATGCTACCTGACCTGTTGTGATTTGCAGCACTTCTTGTTTTGAGAAGACACAGGGAAAACTGTCCAAATTCCAAAAAAGCATGCAGAACTTACTGCCTCTCCATTTTGGGTAAATGCATGTGAGATTCTCTTGGTGTTGTTGCATGTAGCACACATCTGGCCCATTCACCAGTCCTGCGCCACTGCAGTCACCTGAGCCATCTTCCACTTCATCTGGCTGTCAAACATGGACTAAAGGGACACCATGTGCAAAGCTCTGGATAAGGGGAGAAAGAATATACTCAATACTGCCCTCATCCTGATGGCCATCTTTTGTGTGTGGTTGCATCAAGCTGTGCATAGACCCTCGGTACGCAAACACCAAGTATCATTAAGTACCGAGGTTCTACCTGTCCCAGTATTACGACGGATGAGTCAGTCCTCATTGCCTCTGTTCTTGAGGCCTGCAGGAGAAGGAGAGAATGTATCCTGTTGAGATAGTAGGAACTGCCAATGCTGGATTCTGAGATAACAAGGTGTGGAGCTGGAGGAACACAGCAGGCCAAGCAGCATCAGAGG